CCTGCGCGCCCCCAACGAGCCCCGCTGCCCGCTCCTGCCCTTCGCGCCTTCCCCTCACCCCAGCAACCTCGCCGCCCTTCCCGGGGGAGGGGGGAGAGCCCGCCGTCCTGCCGCCAGGTCCTTCCCGCAACTTGGGGGGAACTTGCACGCCCTGGCCTTCTAGGGGCCGTCTGGCGTGTTGGAGGTGTGAGCCCCCAGGTTGCGGCTCTGTAACCACAGCTACTGTGCTTGATGTTGCAGAGAAAAGGAACCTGTTCGTTACGCCAACCTCATGTATGACAGGAGAGTGGTGCGCGGCAACACTTACGCCCTTCAAGTCACACCTGTGGTATGTTTTTTATGTGGATCGTGCTACAGCATTGTAGGAAAGTTATAGGTAGGGCGGGAAAGCTGTTCTTCGTTAATACTTGTAACTGCTGAAGTTGTAATTTTATTTCAAGTATGTCACACAGTCACAGGCTCTCCAGTTAAATTAGCACATGACTTGAGCTTTTCTTTAAGGCACTTAGTTTCACATGACCTTGTGTAGTTCTGATTTTTTTTCCCCATTCAGTACTGGATTATATTTTTCCTGACATTTCCTTAGCGTAATCATCCTAAGAACAAGTCATCACTGCATAATCAGTTATCATATGCAGGGTGTCATCAATGAGAATAGCAGCTCTTGGGAAATTAAGTCTTGTGGTAGACTTAGGCTTATCCTGCTAAGAAGCAGAGCTAAATGGTCCAGCTGTATGCAAAAAGCTGCTTGTGTGGATGCAAAACTATTTTATTTATCTCAATACAGGAGTAAATGTTTGAGTGATACTTTATTTTCAGATAATATTTCTACACAGATAATCTGATCATATAAGAATTTAAAGCAGTCTGTATTTTTAAATGCTACTTTGTGGAAGTAACTTTGTGTTGTTCAGTAGCTGTTTCTTAAAGTGAATTTCATGTATGATCTCTTTAAGAAGTTTGAAACTGATGCTCATTTCAGTCCATAAGCAGTAATGAATTTCAAAGTCAGGATGGGTTTCTTTTGCTTTGTTAGCAATAAAGAACCTCTGATTTTTACCTAGCAAACACTTCTGTTGATAATATGATAACTGAGCTTAAGTCCATTTGACCTTCTTAAAGCTTTACCTAGACATTGTCACTTGTCAGCAAGAACATGCCATTTTAATATCCTTCATCTCAGAAAGCAAAGTTCTGTATACAATATCCACTTCCAAATAACAATTGCTCTTAGTGTGAGATGCCATTAGTACGTGCCTGTAGGCAGCTAGCATACCTTATTAGTTTCATGCCCTACAGTCTTTAAGGTAACTGAAAATTTAGGGTCAGAACCCAGAAAAGTAAATCCGAAATGCTAGATTTGTTGCATTAAAATCAAGCAACCACCTTCATTTTCTTGTAGAGAGAAATTAGTATTGTTTTCAAGTACAGAGTGTATTCTGTTTTGTGGGGTTTTTTTCTTCTTCACCCCTGCACAGAGTACCCAACCCAGTCCCTTTGAGATTCAAAGGCAGAGGGAAGCACGGAAAAGAGCACTGGCTAGAAAGCGCGCAAAAGAGCAAATCCAACCAAGAACACCTGAGCCTGTGGAAGGCAGAGAGCACATTCATGTGCAGACAGGTAAAAGGCTGAATTTTTGAAAATTCATCTGAAAACAAAAACTTGCTGATCTATATTCACTTACTGAATTGATGATGCAGAGTTAAGGTTAGAATCACAAAATTCTAGAACCAGAGGTTCTCTAAATATGTTAATAAACTTGGCTAATTAGTGACATTTTCCCAGAGGCTCTGTTTTTCAGTTTTCAGTGTACATTCATGAACACTAGTGAAGACTTCTTCATTTATTCTTTCATTTTCCAGTATCATCAGAGAAGTTTGGTATATGCTTAAAATTGAGGGATTTTAAAATTTTGCTTAAGAGTGCAGTCACATGTAAGAATAAAGCTACTATTAAAAATTGGGGAACACACCCTAATTTAGAATAGGAAACTGCCCTATTTGTGGGAAAACAATTTTATTTGTAGGAAATCAAAGTTTGTCAGTGGGTTAATCATGACGTGAGTGCAATATTGCCATGCCCTCTGAAAATCATTTCAGATTGGACTGACTTACAAACTGGGAAAACAGCTGTCTTACGTGCTAATCAGACGTGGTCTGTGATTTCTGAATGTTCCCTCTGCCCCAGCCCTGCTGAGCCTCTTACACCACCTCCAATGCACACAGCAGCTTTTCACCATTCAAATACTGTTGGACGCAGAAGGAGGCTCTTCCACAAGTGTGGAAGTCTTGGTCTTGTATCCTTCCCACTGACTACTGCAGATAATTTTAAGTATTCCACAGACATTATTTTCTGAGCCAGGCTATTTATCTCTGCAGTAGGAGACAGACAGTTATAATTCAATTCAAGCCCATGCTGTTATGAATGTGTGGTTACCTCAAGGCTGCTTCTGGTGGGGCCAGAAGTAGAATATAATTCTTTAACAGATCCAGTGTTCTGTTTTGCTGCATACAATGAAGAAAAATGTGGTTTCGATATTACTTGCTAGTAGATAGGCAGTCATTATTCCTTTTTGAAATTGTCCTATCCTGTTGACTCTACCAAGAATTGTTTATGCTGCAATGTGGGATGAAATGGTCTAGGCACTGACTTTTGAAACCTCCTAAGTGAAATGCCCTTTTAGGAATCACTTCCAAAAAGTGCAGCTGACATTACAGAGAACGTGGTATCAGATGGCCTATGTTGAGGTGTCTTTTTTTTTTTTTAAACCTTATACAAGACATTTTATTCCACTCTTTGGATATAATTCACACTGTAGCTTTATCAAAAATAGTTCAGAGAAAATAAAAAGAATCCAACTTTCAGCATTCATTGTATTTCTGTTTCTAGAACTGTATTTGGAAGAGATTAGTGACCGGATAATAGAGGTTGATACAGAGTGTCAAACAGATGCATTTTTGGACAGACCACCCACTCCACTCTTCATACCAGCCAAAACAGGAAAAGATGTGGCCACACAAATAGAAGAAGGAGAGGTATGAAGTCAGGTCCACAAGTGCTGTCAAAACATGTCTCCCATGCAAAACACATTTCTGATGCAAAATTGAGGCAGAAACACAAAGGAACTTATCCTCATAGAACATGCTAAAATAAAGAGTCTCCGATGCCTGACTTGAGGTTAAGTGCAAAATTAAGGAAGGTGCTTTTCCATGTGCACTGGTTCTGCTGCTTTCACCTGAGAACTACAGTGTTGAGAAATGCTCTCCCCTGTAGAAATAATGTCTGGCCGAGAAGGGATTGGGAACACGGAGTTGAGCAGAAATAGGGTCCAGGTGAGGGCTCTGCTTCTCCCTGGCAGCCCCCATAGTGGCTGTGGTAGGGTGTGGGGTGTCTCACTCCAGCCCTCTCCTCCCTTAGCCCCCAGCTGCATTTGTGTTTCTGCCTTAGCTGGCACTGGCCTCCCACCTGCACTTCTCAGCCCTGCCTTCAGCACAAGGGCTTTGTTCATCCTCCTTTTCTGCTTGCCAAGGTGTTAACAGTGATTGTGATCAAGGGTCATTCATCTCTCTTTCCCTGACTCTCGCTCTCAGCTGTTTGACTTTGACGTTGAAGTCAAGCCAATCCTGGAAGTGCTGGTTGGGAAAACAGTTGAGCAAGCTTTGCTGGAAGTCATGGAGGAAGAAGAGCTGGCCCAGCTGTGGGCACATCAGCGTGCCTACGCAGAGCTGCGTAACGCAGAGCTTGCTGAAGTGCAGCGCCTGGAAGAGCAGGACAGGCGATACAGAGAGGAGAAGGTAGGACTTCCGAAGAGCAGAACAGGCCTGTCTGAACGCTCATCAGAAGAGAGAAAACCATTTCCAGTACTGAAAGACAAGCTGTGAAATAAGCTGGATGTGCCCAAAAGGATATTGTCAAGTTTGATATTCCTCAAAACATTTTGGTGCCATACAGCTGCACTCTGCCATTTGCTCTCATGCATCATCACCATGCTGTTGTGTTTATCTTGAGCAGTTGTGCACCAGTGACCTGGTGCACTCAGACACCTGATCAAGAGACCAAACCTAACAGTGTTTTCTTCTGTACCTGGTGCAGCTGTTATTCAAGCCTTTTCATTATAATAAATGCTAAATGAGTAGTCACAGTTCTTGAAAGTAAGAGACACCTCCTAGTCTTTCACTCCCAACGCATGCACTACCGTGTGTGCACACATACCTCTCAAGATCTCCAAGTATTAAGCTGTATTAGTACTATGTAGTAAATAGGAATAACCAGAAATGGCAAGTCTTAATTACTCACAGTTCATCAGCCTCGTATAACTTGGTTTTTTAGTGTTTTCCTGGACCAATTTGAGTTTTAATATTTTCTTACATCAAATAGGATATAATATTGGAAAGATGAAACATTCAGGAAATTCTGACCCAACTTCATCTCATTCCAAGGCCAATAACCAGCTTGATCTGCAATAATAGAGTGTCATGAAATCAATGCATACTAAGATATCAGAGAAGGGTTTCATTTGGCCAGTTGTGAAGCCCTTGTTCTACAGACTTGGCAAAAGCAGAAAAGGTATACCAAAGGAGCATGTTTCCCTCTAGTCCTTGTGGATTTTAGTACTGCATAGATTAAGTACAAGCTTGCTTTCAAGCACTTTTTCATATGAGGAGTTTTTGTAAAAATGAGAGGCTGCAAATACCAGGTAGAGACAGTAAGTGTCTGTACTTTTGCTTATCTTTACTATGTATGACTCTCACACTATGGTCATTCTTCAAAGTCTATATCAAAGGAGTAACAGCTAAAGGCCTGAAAGTTTTACATGCAATACTGCCTTGACAGGAACGTCGCAAACTCCAGCACATGAAAATGCTGCAGAAACAGAAGGAGACTACAGAGAAAATTGCAGCTCGGGCGTTTGCTCAGCGTTACTTGGATGATCTCATTCCCTCTGTCTTTAATAACCTTCGTGAGGGTGGATTTTTTTATGACCCTATAGAAAAAGGTTTGTATTTGTAATTTTTTTTAATATGTGAACTTTGTAGTATAAAGGTCAAAACAACCATAAAACATAGCTTATTGTCATATTATTTAGAATAATGTCATAAGACTTTAGTCATTTACGTTTGTGTAAATGTGTACAAATTGTGTTAATATCTGTGAAAAGATAGTTTCCAAACTCATGTTTTTAACACAGACAAACATTATTGGTCATCTATACAAGTTGTCAAGAATGAGCAAGAGCTGACAGTGTGACAATGAGAAGAGCTGCTTTTGAATTGGAGAGAATTGAGTGGTTAGGTTTGGCAGAGCGAAGAGAGAGATCCAAACTGAAGTAATTGTATTTTGATAGGAGAGGCAAAGAAATCTGTATGTCATCCTGAACCTTTTTAATGTTTATCAGAGAAAAGGAGAAATCTGTTAGTTAGAATTAGGCCCTGAAAATAATTTTGGAGTTGTGTATTGTTGACTCCAAGCTTTTAGAATCAGGAGCATTTCTTGTGGGCTACCTTGCTGCACGCCACTTCTCCAGGCCCTGCACAGGCACACAGACCACAGATAGGGAATGGTTACACTCTCTTCAGAATGAGTCATGGGGCAAGTGCAGAAACTGAGCGTATTTCGCAAACAGTGCAGGCTTTGGGACCATGGTGTAGAAGGAGCATGATTTGAGAAATACATGGGTAAGCAAGAGCTCTTTAGTCAGAGGGAACAAATGTTTCAGCACACCAGAATCCAGACAATTTTGGAAAGCAAGGCAGGAAATGTTAATCTCCTGACTTGTTCAGGATAATTATTTTCATCTCACTAGAACATTACTGTGTATATCATCTGTGCTAGCCCTTCAAGGGTGCCAGACCCCTTTGAAAAACACTGCAGTTGAAACGACTCTGGTCTGGGTCCATAAAGGTGAGGAACCTCAGTAAGAGAGGCAGGAGATAAGAAACCCAACAACACCTGAGAGATTTCATCTGGCTCTTGCAAAGCAAATGTCTTTTGGCAAGGATGTTCAGCCCTTAGTGGTCGTAACAAATGAAAAACAGCCTCAAGATCCTGTCACTCATCCTCAATAAAAAGACATTTTTTCTTTCTTTCTTCCTGCTAACTTCTTACAGATATTGAGACAGAATTCCTTCCATGGCTGATGACAGAAGTGGAAGAAACACTAGAGAGGAAGGTTCTGGGGAGGACAATTCTTGACTGTAAGTTACTAAATCCTGGAATGTAATCTGGGCTACTTGATGGTTTTGATTGTTTTTTCCTCAGTCAGAACAAGTATCGCATTTAAAGGGTCACTGTGGGTTGGTAGGAGGTGTCATTTTAGCAAGAACTCCCAAGTACCCATGGCTTTTGGTGTTGTTTTCTTGGGAGTTTTTTTTACTATATAAAAATATTTTTAATGTTGGAAAACTACTACATACATCTACGTTATTGATTTTCAGCTGAAATCATAGAAGTGTGTTGTGGTTTAAAGCCAGCCAGCAGACAAACACCATGTAGCTGCTCACTCACCCTCCCCTGCCCCGGGGAATGGGAGAGAGGGTTGGAGAGGTGAGGGTAAGGAAACTTGTAGGTTGAGATAAAAACAATTTAATAATTGAAATAAAATAACATAAAAATAATGATAATAATAATAGAAATAATAGAAAACACAAACAAGTAATGTACAATGTGCTTGCTTACCACCTGCTGACCGGTGCCCAGCTCGTTCCTGGCTAGTGATCCCAGAGAAGAGAGAATCCTGAAACCACAATCCTGCAAGCAAGAGTGAACTTCCCAATCAATCCTTATTTATAGATGACGTTATATGATATGGAATATTCCATTGGCCAGTTTGGATCTGTTGCTCTGTTTGTGCTCCCTCCCAGCTGCTTGTGCACCTGCATGCTAGCAGGACGTGGGAAGTTGTAAAGTCCTTGATTTCTTAACAACAACTTAGTAAAAACATCAGTACATTATCAACATTCTTCACATATCAAATTCCCTACTGAATCCAAAACACAACACTATTCTAGCTACTAAGAAGGAAAAAAAATTAGCTCTATCCCACCCATAACCAGCATAAAGTGTCAGTCATGCTGCACTACTGTCTCTCTACTGGCTTTATACAGTTTGAGGTGTGTTGATGCTGGGAGATGCAATACATTTGGCAGGAGCAGAATGGTTGAAGAACAGCAGTTCTTTTCCCTGCTCTAAAGGTTTTATTTCTCATGAGTTACACAGCCGCTGTTGCTGTGCTGTTCTCTGTAGTGTGTCTGATTGTGCCAGTGGGAACAGACAAGTCCATCTTGTCTACAGCCATGTGTACACCACGAAAGTCCCTTAACTTGTTTGTGTAAGCAAGGTGAGATATGGGTAATATGTTCATCCTACAGGAAAGGAGAAGAGAAGGATAATCATAGGCCACGGTTGACTGAGAAGTCACGTGACCAACACTTTTCATCAAAACAAGGGCTTACCTCCTCAGCAGCCAATAATCTTGTCTTTGCTTTTGAAATAGATTAAAACATCATCCGTCTTTGTGGCTAGTTCAAGCTAAGCATTCTGGTTCTTTTATTAGTCAGTCTTCAGAGGCTGTAATTGAAACACCTGAACAATCTAAACTCTGTCTTCTGTAGAAACACAAAATGATGATGAATGTGTGTCCACCATGGCACTTGTAGATCAAACCACTTTTTACAGTTGTGTTACATCTTTCATTCCTATGGTTTTCCTCCTGCTATGATTTTACCTCTAAATTACAATTGTGTCTGTTTCCTTTGAGTTTATTTTTCAGTTTAACAAGGACCCTGAATTTTACTTGTTAAGGTATAATTTGGATAATTACAGCTGGTCTGTTATTTTATCCTATGATATATATGCTGGTATGTACACTGAAGGATCCCTTCTTCATGTATCTCTTCAGGAGGGAAGGAATTTTCTTTTAAGAAAGAAGTATTGTATGTGACTACTGAATAAACATCCCAAGGACAATGTTGCTGCAGGATACACTATTGATGAGAACATCTGTCATATTCCTGTTAAATCGTTCTGTTTAATTTTTTAACCAGATATCGTGGTCTTGCACCGGTTCTAAGATACACAGAGCACCTGAAGCAGGCCAATAAGCAATACCAGCTGTCCATTTTGCTATTTATCCTCTGTATTTCCTGGCTTTTCAACCACCCACTGTTGAGTAAACATCATCTCTGCAAAAGGATCTGCGAATTGCATTCTCCAGGTTTTGTAGTGGCAGACACAGCCTCAGCTTAGTTCTTGGCTTCTTTCCCCTCTTCTGCAGAAGCATAGGAAAAGTCTTTAAGAATCCATATTTGAATCAAGATGCTACTTAAAGGATTTATTTTGTCACTGTCCAGTAAAGGAGCTCTGAACAAAAAGGAAGCACTCTCAGTTTAAGGCAGTTATGTTTGCCCTCTCAGAAATGACCGTTCCTTCTTTTACTTGCTAAAGTCAACCCATGAATTAACAATGAAGCTCTTTTTAGCACCTGTATATTGTCCTATTTTCTGTGTTAAACATCTCTTCTTTCACTGTTGGCTTCTATTTTTCATATTTAAATGATGTATATCAAAGTGACTTGATTTTTTTTGCTGTGCCCGTTGGAAGGGGTATAACATTTAGAAAATTTACAAAGGCTAAGCAGCAAAAATAATAAAGGATAGGTGCTTTACAGCTGCTTTTCAGAAAGATACAATCTTTTGATGACTCCCATAGTTCTGATATTTCCCAGATGCCAAAAACATCACGCTGTGTGCAACCTGCCTAGTGCTTGTTCCTGGTGGGGTGACCTGCTCCAGAATTGAGAAACAAATGTGAGGAAAAGAACAAAAAACTCCAGGTGAACCCTTTCAAATCACTGCTTTCAGTGTAAACGCCTCCTTTGGCTGGAACTGGGCTACAGCATCAGGGAAGTTTTTTCTCATTCAAGTATTGTTTTATTTCTAGTGTTACTTCAGAGTTTTTTCCCTGTTTAAGAAGTTATAGGTCAGTAATATATAAAATAATCTCAAAATATATCTTTTCCTCCATGCTTGTTAATGGTGGCTTTCTCTGTTTCAGCCTTGATTTGTACAGTGGTTGAAAAGCGCTTAGATGCATTTAGCCATCAACCTCTGTCTGATCAGACAGAGGCACCTACTGAAGAGTCCAGGTCAACAGATGCAGCACCCCAGGTGGCTGGTGAGACTGACACTGCTGACCAACCGGTTGCAGAGAAAGAAGAGACTGACCAATCTGTTGCTGAGGAACAGCCTTCACGTCGCATCTCTTTCCAGTTAGAAAAATCAGATCAAGCAGGAACAGAGGATTTGGAAACTGAGAAACAAGCAGGCAAGTCATCAAGTAGATTGAGATGAATGGCTTAGAAAGAAGAAATTAATTCCTATCTATTTACAAGTATTGTGCCCTAGCCATGCTGAAGGATGAACCTAAGCAACAGTAGAACATTAGTGTTTTCCATATGCTGACATTGCTGATTTCAGGCTGTAAGAATCAAGAGAGAGGTTACTAGCGGTCCTGGTTTGAGGTCAGAGGGCAGCTGCGCACCATGCAGCCGCTCGCTCACTCCTTCCCCTCACAACTGGGAAGAAGAAAATACAGCAAAAGGCTTGGGAATCAAGATAAGGATGACTCACCCATTACAGTCACGGGCAAAAGACAGACTTACTAGGGGAAGAAAAAGCACATCAATTTAATTTGAACACTGCCACCACTTAATTTACCAATGAAACAGAGTCGGACAGTGAGAAATACAACCACATCTTAAAAACACCCTTCTCCCACCCTTCCCTTCTTCCCAGGATCAGCTTTACTCTTGATTTCTCTACCTCCTCCACCCCAGTGGCATGGGGGGAGGGGGTGGGGGTTGCTGTCAGTTTGTCACATGTTGTCCTCCTGGGGGTGGAAGGACTCTTCACACTCTTACCCTGCTCCAGCGTGGGGTCCCTCTCATGGGAGACAGTCCTCCACAAACTTTCTCCAGTGTGAGTGCTTCCCACGGGCTGCAGCTCTTCACAAACTGTTCCAGTGTGGGTCCCTCCTGCGTGTTGCAGTCCTCCCAGCAACAACCTGCTCCAGCATGGGCTTCCTTCAGAGTCCTGTCCTTCTTTGGGTACAGCCACCTGCTCTGGGATGGGGTCCTCCATGGGCTGCAGGTCAGCATCTATTCCACCACTAACCTCCATGGCTGCAGGGACACAGCCGGCCCTCCCACCATGGGCTGCAGGGGAGTCAGTGCTCTGGCACACCTCCCCCTCTTCCTTCTTTCTTCCACTGACCTTGGTGTTTGCAGAGGTGTTTCCCTCAAAACTGCTTCTCACGACTTCTACTGCTCCTCTCAAGTTCCCCTTCTTAAATTATCACAGAGGTGCAGCCACTGTCGCTAACTGGCCAGAGATAGGTCTGACTTGGAGCCAGGGGAGCTTTAAGAAGCTTCTCACAGGGGACCACTGCTGTAGCCCCCTTCCCTGCTACCAGAACCCACCACCACACACACAACAAACCCAACACACTCATGCAGTGAGTGGCAGTGAAATTCTATCCCCTGCTACACAATCCAATTCATCAAAAGCCTGGGATGTTTACAGTTGAAAATTAATGCTGTCCCATACCCCTCTGCTAGAAAGTCATGAGAAGGACATTGAGAGCATTCTAATAACCTTTGCATGTGCTTTGGTAATATTCTCAGAATAGAATTTCCATATTTTCCCTATTTTGAAAGGTAGCTACTACAGCACTTGGATAAATTTCTTTTCACACAGTTTAGTCTCCTTTCCGGAGAAACTTAGATGGGCATCTCGGCAGGTAACAGAGTGAAGGCTGTTGTTCTTGAAGGCTTTCTTCGGGTTCAAAGATTTACCTGTCACTGGGAATTTCTGCCAGTGCAAAATCCTCCTCAGCTTCCTGGCTCCTGGAGCAATGGTGAGGGGCTGGAGCCATGCTAATTTTATCTAGAGAAATAAAAAGACTTTCTGACATGATTCATGAGAATTGGAAATGTTACAGCTCACTTTTGGAACACTCTATGTGAGTTTTAAGGATTCCCTATTACTGAATGATTGTTCTATCATGTATTTACAGGAGACTTAGCATAACCTATAGGACTGCTGTGGATCATTCCTGAAGAGATTCAAAGAAATGCTGACTTGAACACTGATTTTAGAATGTTACAAGAAGAAGGTGGTTACTGGAATATTTTGATTTTTGTCACTCCTGTTTTGTGTTTGATTGCTAGAAAATGTACTTGAAGTGTTGAATTATTTTATTTAAATAGGTTGTGGCATTATTATGTATTCTTAAATTATTATAAAATATAATTAACTGTATTTTTACTTCTTTTACTTCATACCCTGCATTTTTACTTCATTAGAATGTACAACTCCTGCATTGTAATAGGTTGTGTTTTTATGGGGGCACACAGCTGCAACACTTTATACTGCACTGGCATTTTTCCATTAATAGCCCCATACTTGAATTTCAGCCCCAGACATGGGCAGGTTGGCAGGGGAGGGGACCCCTCACATGCTGTCAGTCACTGTGAAGCAGAAAACCATGAGCATCTGTAAGGAGGGGAAGGGGGATTTGGGGTAATAGAGTAGCTGTCACCTGTTTGGGGTGATGCCGGCAGGCACGCAGGATGTGTGGCACAGGCCTTGCCGCTGGCAGGGTGGTGCTGGGGCTGGCATGCAGGTGACTGTGGTTGCCACCCCAGCCGAGCCCAGATGCAAGCACCACACCCCTCATACCGCCTCCCCACGGGGATCCCTCCTGCTGCACTTCCCCTCCAAGTCCCCTTTCTTTGGTCAGTGTCCCCAGCAGCAGCTGTCCCTGTCAGGCAGGTAAGGCCGCAGTGTGGCCAGGGGAGGCCCAGGGCTCTGCAGCTCCTGGGTGAGCCTGTGGGTGTGAGGGGGAGCGGAGAGAGGACAGAGGGGGATGGTGCTGCAGGCATTAAAGGGCAGAACAGACAGCTCACCGCGATCCCGCCACAGAGACACATACAAAGACACTGATGTCACCTATTGCACACTCTGTGGTAGTGATGCCCGACTGGACTTCCCTCCTCTGCTAAACCGCAAAGGTGTAGACCTTTTGCAAAATCTACTCGTATTTACAGCATGAGGAGACAACACTTAGGGTCAGCCAACACAGTCTACACTAAGATCACAGACTCAGAATGGTTTGGGCTGAAAGGGACCTTTAAAGTTCATCTAGTCAAACTCCCCTGCCATGAACAGGGACGTCTTTCACCAGGTCAGGTTGCTCAAAGCCCCATCCAGCCTGGCCTTGAACACTTCAGTGATGGGGCATCCACAACTCTGAGTGTTGTGGCTTTCAGGGCTTTCTAACTGCAGCTTGCTGAGTTTTCCATGTCATAGCTCAGCACTGGGCTGAACCCTTTCAAAAAGTCCAGCAGAGCTGTTTCAACTTGTCCTTTGAATGAGACTGGAGGAAACATACATTTTCCTGCCTATATTGAACCATCTTTTTCAGATGATAAGCAACTTGTAACACATCAGTGTGTTGGACCCAGAACACAGGCTTCTGGGTGCTTTCTTCAGTGGAACCATTGCAGACCAGACACGAAGTTCATTTTGGCATTGAACTGTGTCCAGAGGACCACTTGTAGCACCGAGGAGTTGAGCTGGTACCTCTTCTAGTCATTCCCAGGCTGGTACCTGTCAGTAAAAGCTTAACAGTAGCATGTGTGTACAGTGAGGCTTCCTATCTTTGTGTGTTTTATCAAAAGCAGCTGGTTACAATATGACTGTATCCACGTGGTTTCCATCTATTGATTTCTGTGCAAAGCACCAAAGCATTACTCCAACAAACAGCTCAGCAGTTTAGCCCCATGTTTACTTCAACACCTGCTTGAGAAGTAGGAAAGACATTGAGACTTACTGCCTGGCCCTGATTCAGTTTGGGAATCCTCTTGATACTGATGGACCAAACTGGACTCTCCATGTTTCTCCATTGCACACTGACAGACTGGGAGAATTTTAGTGAGGATAAAATTCATGGCTGGTTTGCTGCTGGCAGAAATCACGGGTTTCACAGAGCTACAGAGAGAACAAATAAAAAAATAGGCCTACAAAAGTGTTTGCTTGCTTGCTTATATGCATGTGTTAAACATGAACCTCACGTTATCCATCTTTAATGGCTACAGCCTTGGGAGCCTGCAGAAGCTGTACTGCTTTAACAGCAGCAATGGGCAGCAATGGCCCTGGGGCTTTCACAAAGCCGTGAAGATTTCTGTCTGCCCCCCCTGCAGGAGACACCAATATGGCAGTGTTTATCATAGTGAAATAGTGAACCTATTTCAGTATGGTTTCTCACTGCCACGGTTTCTTTACTGGTACAATCCAGAAGTTAGACATGGCCTAGAGCAGGGGTTCTCAAACTTTCCTTCACCGTGGACACCCTTTAAATACCTTTTGTGGCTGCGGACCAATAAGACTTAATTCAAGATTTAAAGCACTAGACTACATCAAATATTTATTTAAATTTTCTTATGAAGGGTCTTCAGATTTGGAGAGAAGGGGAAATAAGTTAATCTGTTAATGCACACGTTCCTGTTATAATATCTTTACTGCAGTGATTCCATATGATTTTAAAATAATAGCATCGAAACTCTTTTTGCTCAAATGGCCCATTTTATGGTATTTTAATGTGCCAGTTCTGAATTTGATACGAATTTTTACATTAAAATTTGGTGATAAGTTTTTACAATTCTTCTCACCTCCTCCCTTGTTTGTCTGTGTTCAGACACCATATATTTTTGTTTACAGGTCCAGAGCCACCACTTGGAGGAACGTGTGGCCCTAAAGAGGGCTGTTGGGTTAAGAAAATGTCTGTAAGAGAAAAACCTCCTAGTTAAATGGGTGCCACCAACCATACTAGCACTGAGTATACTAGTGTGTCAGGGCAGGTGGGGGCGTGGGGCTTGAGTATGAGAGGAGCATTGAGGGGAGGGGGCTGTGGGCAAAGGTGGTGCAGTGCTTGCCTGGGGCCACAGCAAATGTTTCCGAGCTGGACGTTCCCCACCCCTGCTTTAAGCCTTCGCGGACTCTCTGTGATGACATCGTGGCCCCCCAGGGGTCCACAGATCACAAGTTGAGTACATTTACACTGAAATGGCCTAGAGTACATTTCAGTGGTCCAGCAATGATGCTGCTTTATTGCATTATCACTGTAGTTATAAACTGCCTTATGTCACCTTACTCCTCCTCCTCAGTCCCACCACGAACATTTGTTGCTCAAGTTACCCAGGCCTTGGTTATTAACATATGATAATGTTAGCATACATACATTGTTACTGGCAGTTTAAGTTAATAAATTTGACAGTGAACTGTAGCAGCCGTGGTAGTGGCATATCCCATGCTGCTGACTGCCATGGGATTCATGATTTCTGGCAAAAAATCTGGCTGAGAGGCTGGTACAATAATGCTTGAAACTGCCCCAGAAAGATTAGTTTTATCTGTCATGGTCCTGGCTGGATCTTGCAGCCACTGCTGAGACAACATATGCTGTTAAAAATGACCTAACAGTGGAATTTAACTTAATAGGAATCATGATTCAATCATGCTTTGGCAATTGAACTTTTATCTACTTTAAACACAGCTTTTTGTTAAGATAATCATGTTGGAAAGTGCTCATGTGTATGATGGGTTAGGGAGTACATCCAAAAGATTATTTAATGGGCAAATACCAGCAGGCCAACCGTTACTATTTTAATGGTAATTAATCAATCAAATACATTTGTTTCAAACAGAGTTAATGTAATGCATTATCTACAGCTCCCCAAACCACAACACACTGAATCACAGGATCACTGAAAGGTCTAGCTAGGTCAGAAGGGATCTCTGGATTCTTGGTCAGCTGGCCCAACCTTCTCTAAGAGCAGGGTCCTAGATTGGACTTTGCCTGGCTGGGCTGTAGCACTGCTGAAACGGTTTGGGGCCACCTGGTGGCCTCTGCAAGATGAGCGGTTGGTCAGCAGTGCCCTTTGCAGCCACGAAGGCAAACTGTGCTCCAGGTTGCATCAGCAAGAGCATAACCAACGGGATCAAGGGGTGCCATTATTCCCCCCTATTTGGTACTTGTTGGTGCACACCTGGAGGACCGAGCCCAGCTGTGGTCTTCTCTGGTTCAAAAGAGGCACTGAAAAACTGGAGAGGGTCCCCTGGAGGGCCACGGAGATGGTTAAATGTGGAGAACTTGACATGGGAAGCAAGACTGAAAGGAACTGGGTGTGTTCAGCCTGGAGAAGGCTCAGCTGGATCTGACGGTGGTTTTCCAGCCCTGAAATGGTGATTATGGAGAAGGTGGAAGCATCTCCACAGGATGACCCGTGCCAGGACATGAAGAAACAGCCACAAGCGGGTTCAAGGGAAATGCCAGCCAGAGGTGCTCACAGGCTCCATTTCCTGCGCCCCTCAGCCTGCCAAGGTGCACGTCTGCAACCAGACCCCAAGATAAGGAGGCAACATCGGTACATGGGCAGGAAGCTCTTAATGCCGCGAGGTGCCTTCCTTGGAAGTAATTAACTACCACCGGTGCAGGTCAGCATCTATTCCACCACTAACCTCCATGGCTGCAGGGACACAGCCGGCCCTCCCACCATGGGCTGCAGGGGAGTCAGTGCTCTGGCACACCTCCCCCTCTTCCTTCTTTCTTCCACTGACCTTGGTGTTTGCAGAGGTGTTTCCCTCAAAACTGCTTCTCACGACTTCTACTGCTCCTCTCAAGTTCCCCTTCTTAAATTATCACAGAGGTGCAGCCACTGTCGCTAACTGGCCAGAGATAGGTCTGACTTGGAGCCAGGGGAGCTTTAAGAAGCTTCTCACAGGGGACCACTGCTGTAGCCCCCTTCCCTGCTACCAGAACCCACCACCACACACACAACAAACCCAACACACTCATGCAGTGAGTGGCAGTGAAATTCTATCCCCTGCTACACAATCCAATTCATCAAAAGCCTGGGATGTTTACAGTTGAAAATTAATGCTGTCCCATACCCCTCTGCTAGAAAGTCATGAGAAGGACATTGAGAGCATTCTAATAACCTTTGCATGTGCTTTGGTAATATTCTCAGAATAGAATTTCCATATTTTCCCTATTTTGAAAG